CTCCTCCGCCACTCTCCACCCCCCAGCTACTCCATCTCCACCGATCCACCGCCGCTCCACCCCCTCCTCCGCCACTCTTCGCACCAGTGCTCCCCTCCGCTCCCCTCCGCCAGCGCACCCCTTTGCAAGCGCTCTCCTGCACCACCGCTCCCCTGCGCCTGCACTCCTTTCCACTTCCCTCCGCCAGTGCTTCCCTGCACCTGTGCTCCTTTCCACTCCCCTCCGCCAGCGCTCACCTCCACCCGCTCTGCTACCGCTTCCCCACCAGCGCACCTCTGCCTGCGCTCCCCTGCAGTCCCCTCCGCTAGAAGAAAGAAAAAATGTTAGGCGGGCACTTTGTGTGTGTGTGTGTGTGTGTGTGTGTGTGTGTGTGTGGGTGTGTGTGTGTGAGAGAGAGAGAGAGAGAGAGAGAGAGAGAGTTCTGGCCGCCATTGAAAGAAAGAAAATGCTAGATCGTCCGCGGGGTTTCTTCCCGGGCTCGCAGAGAGAGAGAGAGAGAGAGAGAGAGAGAGAGAGAGAGAGAGAGAGAGAGAGAGAGAGAGAGAGAGAGAGATTATTCTAACTGACTATGCGCCCCTGATCCGTGGTCCACCAAGACCCTTAAAAAAGCAAAAAACTCGAGCGCGTGCGCGGGAAAGCGAGAGAGAGGAAGAGAGACCAGAAGGGAGAGAGAGAGAGAGAGAGAGAGAGAGAGAGAGAGAGAGAGAGAGACCCCAATGTAACAAAATATGCGCCCTCCTCCCCCCCCCCGCATCAAGTATAGTATCTGCTCCAAACAGTTTCATAGCCGATCCGTGGTCCATCGAGCCCTTTTTTCCGGAAAAAACAAAAAGAGAAATTTGTATGTGCACACGCGCGCGAGTTAGGGAGAGGATTCAACGCGATCCTCTTGCGCGTTGAATCCCCGTTAAAACCACGATTAAACGTGGTTTGGACGGGTTTTGAACCACTAGGACCTCGCCCGCTGTTGGGAAATTAGGGAAAACTGGCAGTTTTCCCAAACTCCTGAAAATTCGGAGGCCGGGCCCGACGACGGCTGCCATTGATAAATCTGATCGGCAGCCGTCGTTTCGTTTCGGCCATCCGAAAAGGTCGGAGGCCCACCCGAGGCCCGCTATTTTCCCACGCGGCAAAGGTACTAGTGGTTTAACACTACCCGGGGGGATGTTTGGGGTGGGGAGTGTGCAGGGGGCAGTTGTGTACCCCCCCGATGTACTTGCTTTTGGGCATCCCCGCGTCCCGGGGTAAGGGTTTCAACCCCAGATCCCCGCCCCTGCCCCAACCCTGGCATC